GAAGATAGAACGGTTGCTCCCAGCAGGAGAATTAAGTCAATTCAGGATCGCCAGTCATCATTGCTGAAGTGTTTTCATGTAAAGCTTCCAAACCAGGAGAGTTTGGTCAAAATTTTATTAGAGCTGTGAAAGTCTAGGCCATTGGAATTGCAGGAGGTTTATGGAAGCAGACTCAGAAAGGAGCCATTAATATTGTCTCCGTTGTTCAAAATAAAGAAATGGGAAAAGTCAGTCAAGAAAATATCTTAAAAGACTGAGATACGAGTGATATTTTGCTGGGTTTGAGTTCCTGTAGCAGGGTTGGGCATTAGGTGAAGCTTCATTTCGCTTTTTGTGTTAAGATCTTTCTATTAATTTTCCTCTTCTTTCTGTTATTAAGGAACATCTGCAGCCTCATGAAAATGTTTCGGTAACTAACGAAGAATGTTAACCAACTGCAGAAAATTAAATAGATGATCTATCAAGCCAGATTTCATTCTGGGATCTGACTTGTCCAATATTGCTGTCAGCTGGGACCATAGCAAAATAGTAATCTTCTGTTTATGTGTTTTCTTAAAAGAAAACAATTGCACTTGTAAGAGCTGATTTTCTTCCACTTTGTTTCCAGACAGCAGCTTAAAATCTGAGGAAAAAATGGACAGTCATCCTTTTACTCCCATTTCACTCCTCAATAACACTGGGTTCTTTAGCCTTTCGGGTATTTGGCTGAAAATGAACGCAACAATCTGAATTGCATACAAATGCAAAGCATAGAGTTCTGCGCCCACAACTTTAAATGGTTCAAGTCCCATATCTTCCGGAAGTGTGTAATAACATCTCTGAACAGGTTGATTAGAAAATATCTAAGGTCCCTCGCAGATTAGGAGCAAACGGCTCCCATTTGAAACCTCACTCTCCTGCAGAGATGCAGTTTAGTGCTGCCTGCTTTCAGAGACTGCTCTAAGCTTCAGCTCATCATGAGGAGGCTCAGGTGCTGTAGCCATTAACAGAACTGTACCATTTAGATGCTTTCCACTGTAATTACTCCCTTCCAGGGAAGGCAATGGCCGAATGGTATTATTGCTAGACTGTTAATCCAGAGACCTAGATAATGTTCTGGGGACCTAGGTTGGAATCCTGCCATGGCAGATGGTGGAATTTGAATTCAGTTTTAAAAAATATGGAATTAAGAGTATAATGATGACCGTGAATTCATTGTTGATTGTTGGAAAAACCCATCTGGCTCACCAATGCCCTTTAGGAAAGGAAACTGCCATCCTTGCATGGTCTGGCCTACATGTGATTCCAGACCCACAAGCAATGTGGTTGACTCTTAACTGCCCTCTGGGCAATTAGGAATGGGCAATAAATGCTGGCCTGGCCAGCGACACCCTCATCCCATGAATTAATTTTTTAAAAAATGGTCTAGAGACAATCTGCCCCATAATCATTAGCAACGGTGTTATTGTTGAATCCCAATGAGCACAATGTATTATTCTAGAATGAAATGTACCTGGAAATGCATTCAAAGCTATAACTCTAAATCACAGTTACAGAGATTCTTTAAATCAGTAAACTTTTGTTGTTGATGCTCATAATATTACTTGAATGCTACAGCTACATCATGGGGCACATTGACTTCAGTCCCTTGGGTACGTACGTCTGTCTTTTTCATTTGTTTATACGTAGCTATGAGTTGGTGCCTACAGACTTTAGAAGTGCTTCTTTTGGACCTGCTTGAAGCAGAGAAGGTTGAGGGGGGACCTGATAGAGATGTGTAAGATTATGAGGGGCATGGACAAGGTGAATAGAAAGCAACTGTTCTCCTTAGTTGAAGGGGCAATGACAAGGGGACATAATTTTAAGGTGAAAGGCAGGTGGTTTAGAGGTGATTTAAGGAAAAACCTTTTTCATCCAGAGGGTGGTGGGGATCTGGAATGCACTGCCTGACACAGTTATTGAGGCAGGTAACCTCACAACCTTTTAAAAAGTACTTGAATGAACACTTAAAAAGTCACAACATTCAAAGCTTTGGACCTAGCGCAGGAAAGTGGGAATAAAGACGTTAGTGGTATATTTTTGGTGAGACAGACTTGATGGGCCAAAGGGCCTCTTGTGTATTGTATGATTCTATGATCCTCCAATATCCCCTGGTTGGAGTTTCTAGACCTAGGACGAAGTCTCAGGCTAGGGGCCAGACCATTTGGGACTGAGACATGGAGGAAATCCTTCACATAAAGAGTGGTGAATCTTTGCAATTCTCTGCCCCAAAGAACGCTGGAGGCTCGGTCACTGAGTATGTTCATGACAGGGATTGGTAGATTTCTACACATTTAAAGACATCAAGGGATAGTGCAGGAAAATGGTGTCAAAGTAGGTCAGCTAGGATCTCATTGAATGGAGATCAGAGAGCTGCATGGCCTACTTTTGTGCATATTTAGGTTGTTACAACACAATCAGCCAAATCAAATCATCCTCCCTATCCCTCTATTTGGAACGCAGTAAAATTAAAATAGTCAATGACCCTCAAAATTGCCCCATTATTTCCTAACCAGACTTTTTAAATAACCAATACCAGACACTGAATTTATAGCTTAAACAAAATAATTAACCTTGTAACCAACAGAAGGCAGTGGATGAATTAAGAAGTGGAGCCAGTTCATCCCTCCTCACCTGGGATCTTATTATTTAAGGGTATCCTGTTTAGAACCATAACAAATTGTGGAATCACATCTGTGATCTTGTGTCTCTTGAGTGGCAGAATATGTGAAGGCCAATGTCCTCTGATGTCCTTGGTCATTGTGACTAAGTTTCTTGGCCTTGCTGTTGGCTAATAGAGTCCTTTATGAACTTTTCTTTTTTAAAAAAAACACACCTGCCAATATGTATGATAACAAGGTGTAGAGCTGGATGAACACAGCAGGCCAAGCAGCATCAGAGGAGCAGGAAAGCTGACGTTTCGGATCTGGACCCTTCTTCAGAAAATATGCCAATATGTGCCCTTTCTTTGTAACCCATTTTACGCTGGCAAGTATATTATGTAAATATTTCCGCTGAGAATATGAAGGAAATTGTGCCCAGCCTTGTTTAACCCTAGTATGTATTTTAACTGTCAAATCGAGCTCTCATACAAAGCACTGATTAAAAAAGATGCTTCATTTTGAGTTCTTCGAGATACTGGCTGTGGATCTTCCTCTGATTTCTGAGCTCCTGTTCACTGTTTCTGTGCCAGTGTGAACCATCCTGCTGCTTGGAATGATTGTCTCAGGTGTGATTCGAGCTATTCACACAGGCTGAAAACCTCATAACAATCTAAATTTAACTGGAACTGAACAAAACAAAAACAGGAATCATTGAGGATGTTTCACCTTCAGATCAAGTACAACAGAATTCATACTCCAGCTGCTGACTAGTTCCCAGTGTGAATAATAGGTTACTGCCTGTAACTAGCATATAATCCCATCCATAATGATATTACAGTCCTGGTTTTCCCAACAGCCTTGTCATGAAATACCAGGCCCTACTTTCAGGGAAGCCCTTGCTGTAGGCTTTGCTTTGTTGAGCATTTTCATCGGAATGAGAAACTGTTTAATTGTATTCTTGAGCCATGAAGAGGAAGGGAAAAAGATTGACTTGGTGCAAGGTTCAAGAACAATTGTCTGAGAGACTGGCCTTTCTCACCCACTACCCAAATGGTTGCAGCCTGTTACTATTCACCTTCTATACTCCTTACAATTCTGTTTGCCTCCGATAGGAAGGATGTTATTAAACTGGAAAGGGTGCAATAAAGGATGTTACTGGGACTGGAGGGTTTGAGTTATAAGGAGAGGTTGGATAAGCTGGGACTTTTTCCCTGGAACATAGGAGGCTGAGGGATGACCTTATAGAGGTTTATAAAATCATGAGGGGGATAGATAAAGTGAATAGCCAAGGTCTTTTCCCCAGGTAGGGGGAGTCCAAAACTACGGGCTTAAGGTGCGGTTGTGGTGGTGGGGGGGGTGATTTAAAAGAGAGCTGAGGGGCAAAATTTTCATGCAGAGAATGGTGCGTATATGGAACGAGCTGTCAGAGGAAGTGCTAGAGGCGTGTACAATCACAACAGGTGTGAAGGAATATGGGCCAAACACAGGAAAATTGGACTAGTTCATTTTAGGAAACCTGGTCAGCATGGACAAGTTGGGCCAAAGGGCCTGTATTCGTGCTGTATTACTCTGTTTGTGCCCAGCTGCCAGGTGTATTGCAGGGATAGTGGGAACTTCCTTTATAACAGATGGAAAATATAGGTTTGTTCGGGCATATTGTGCTGGATTATCCTTTTATTATGGGTGTATAGCAAGTTCCCTATGACCTAGTGCCAATGGCCCTGTGAGAAACTAACCAAGCTGATTGCAAGTCTCCACCACGGCTGCCATCTGCCTTTGCTGCTGATGCCGTGCAGGCAGCTGTGACCTCCCAAAGAGATTCGGTGCCACCAATTAGGCAACAAGCTTATAATCTATCCAATTAGGGTGCTCAAAATTCAAAATGGTGCTGTATGTGAGATGCACAGCAGTGGTCTAGGATCAGAACACAGAATTCATCCACACACTGGTTCCCTGGGCTTTCCTTGGAAGTCTGGCCCAGTCCTTAGCCAGACAAGAAAACTGAACCCTCGCCTCTCAGACACCTTGGTGACCAATGGAACATATAATGCACAATACAGTATCTCTTAGGCTTTTTGGTCTGAGAGGATTTGGGCTCCAGAGATGCCCTCTAGGATGACATTTTAAAATTGTACCCAGACCCTATTCTGACCCTGGTGATTGAAAATCTGGGTATCAATAACAGAAAAATACCTTGTGGACAAATGTGTGCTGTACTAGTAAACAAATTGCTCATTGAATACCTTTTCAGAACTTTTGAGTTCTGCTATCTGTAGATAGTCAATTCCATTCAGCGTTGTATAGACTACAGTATGTGAGCAATGGAACCAAAACAAAGTGAAGAAACCTTTTGCTAAGTAACAAATATGGAATAAATTATTAACGTTACCCGGTGGCATATAAGAATTTTATTATAAAGTGGATGGGGTCTAAAAACTACACATTAAAATACAAAAGCACACATTATTTATTCTGCACATTTCAACATGGCCATTCAGCAAATGTCATGGGTCTAAATAGGTTATGCAATGCCCTGTAATGGGATAGGTCTCATTCAATAACTGTAAATCCAACAAATGTACTGAAAGGAGGCTGGTAGTTTCCCATTGGGATGTTTAGAAAATGAAAGGAACATTAAAACCAAACACAGTTCGAACAGGGATGTTGCCAAATGGAGAGATGATGTGGGAATTAGAAATAGAATGGGAATAAAACATAACTTTCTAACATAGAATGAAGGATTTCAAATCAAGTTTCACGATTGCTAAGCAAAGATTTGGTGCTTTCAGAGTTGTGTGTTAAATGGAAGTGTTCTTCAATATTTCATTTTGCTGTGAAGGTGACCCGCCAGCCATTGGGATAACCTGTGAAGCCTCAGTCCTTGCAACTCCTGTCTGTTTGCTGTCATAATCGAGACCAAAAGGAGTGGTAGACTTAATGAATCTCTGAAATAGATGAATTGAAACATTAATTCAGACTTACAGTCAGATCTGAAAAGTCCTCTTCAAAGACTGGAAAATGTTTATGAGAGTGGGAAGTTAGTAGGATACAAGCTACATTTTTTGAGTTCAATTTTTGTACCTATCAAGGTGAAAAGTGGCAGTCTACCAGAGAAGACACTTTTCACTTTTTGTCTCAATATCGTGTTGAATTTTTCCCACAAATACTAACCCACGAAGGGCTCACAAACCAACCTTGGAGTATATTTCCCTCAAACCACGTAGAGGCTCAATTTCCCAATCCTGTGCCAGTTTATGTCAAATTCTGGTTAGCTTTGTGTTTTGATGTTGTCCTCACTGGAAAGTATGTTGATACATTCATTTCAAAGGGAGTCTTATACCTTTTACCTTTGAACCAACAACTGAATTTGAAGAATTTCACTCAGACACGAAAAGTCAGAGAATAGGCTCATTGAGATTCCAATCCCTTAAGACAAACTATTTTGTAATTAAATGGTTTTTATACTATGCAGAATCAAAAAGCTATTTTCTCAGCACAACACAATGTTTGAGTACAAATAGAGATTCATACCTTAAACAATTTGGGTGAGACATCTCCTTATCCATTTTAAACTTTCCAATGAGCTTCATTTATGTAATCTCACTGTAATTTAACCCTTGGAGTTCAGATGTCGTATTAGTAAATCTACACTACACTGCCTCGAAGACCATTATATCCTTTCTCAGAGATAGTGTCCTGATCTACCTGAGGGAATCAAGAATTTTGGATGGTTATTGCATGACTTTATACCTAGGGTCTACAAGGGAGTTGAAATTATGCTGTAACTATACAAAGACCAGCATTCCATTAGCCTTTCTGATTATGTTTTAGACCTGTGCATTCAGTTTTAATGCAGGGTTTACTTCGACATCAAGTATCTTTAGACTGTCACAATTTCCAAATTTTCATCCATTTTGCAAAGTACTTTCCCTTTTGTGTCCAAAATCTTACATTGAAATCCATTTACTACAATTTTGTCCATTCATTTTACCTATATCTCTTTGTAGATCCATGTTTCTGTCTACATTGTCTGACTGTTGCCTATCCCTGCCATTGACAACTAGTGCTAAGGGCAGGTATAGCCCTTAAGTAAATTCCTGATTTCTTAAAAACATTAAGAGAGCCCTCTTTACATGCAACCTTTTCATATTATATAATGTTGCATAGTTTTATAATTTAGGTGCAGGGTGTATGTGCTTACCAATCCTTTTAGAAAAGAGTCATAGCGTCATTAAAGCACACTGAAAGGCCATTTGATCTGCTGAGTTCATGCTGCCTCTCTGGGATCAATCTAGTCAGTTCTAGTTCTTGCTGATTTTTGCAGTCCTACAAATTTATTTCCCTCAAGTGCCCATCCAATTTCCTTTAGAAATTATTGATTGTCTCTGCTTCCGCCACGCTTGTAGCCTGTGTTTCACGTCATTACCACATGCCATGCAAAAGCAAAATGTAATTCCTCACAGCTCCCCCACATTTACTGTCCAAAATGTTAATTCCAAGTCACTTACCTCTTGTATGATCAGCTGAAGGTGACAGTTTGCCTCCACACACTTTAGTTAAGTTTTGCATTATCATCGCTATAGCTAGCAAATTTCAGTTTCTCCAATTTAATCTTGTAGCTCACATCCCTGCAAACATACTGGTATTTCTCCTCGGCACCATCTCACAAACCTTCACATCCTTCCTCAAGTGTGCTGACTAGAACGGGACCCAATACTTTGGTTGTGGCCTAACCAAATCAAGCTGCAGCATAACCTCCCTGCTTTTGTACTCAGTACACCTATTTGCAAAAGGCAGAATCCCGTGCTAATTCCACTCTCAATATGTCCTACCACCTTCAAAGATCAGATGCCTCTGTCTCTGCACTCTTTAGGACTGTGCCATTGAGTTATGTTGGCTCTCCCTATTCCTCCTTCTGAAATGCACAAAATTCACCTCACATCTTACTGTAATATGTTTCATTTGCCACTTGATTGCCCATTCTGCCAGTCTTTGACTGTTGCACTCAATTCATATCATCCTGATTGACACTCTTCCACATTTGGTATCATCAAACTTTAAAATTTTTCTCTGAATTCCAATATCCAAGCCATTTCTATAACCAAATGTAGTTACTGAAATGTCTTTGCATCCTTTTTTAAATAAGGGTGTTACATTTGGCATTCTTCAATTTCCTGACCCTACTCTTGAATCTAGGGCAGATTTGAAGATTATGGCAAGCCCTCATCCTATTTCCACATCACCATTTCCTTTGGTAACTTGGTACAGAACCCATCTGGACCAACTGGCCTATCTATCCTTAGACCTGATAGCCTTGCTGATAAATTCTACTGATCAGTTTTAACTCCATTCATTAATTCTCCCATCTTCATTTCTGCCAATACTTCGTTAGCATTGTCTTCCATAGTAAAGACAGATACAAATTACCCATTAAATATTGTAGGTTTGTCCTGTTCCTTGAAGAATACGTCATTTCCTTTGTCTCTAATTGGACCCATCCCACCTTTTGTTTAACATTAACATACTGGGATAAAGTCTCTGGGTTATCCTTTCTTCTAATTGTCATTTTATTATCACATTCTCTTTGCCAGTTGTATTTCTCCTTCACTTCCTCCCTTTATATATTATATTTGGTCAGACTCTTGCTTGCAGAATGAATGGATTATATACTGTTTTCTTAAAAATAATTATCATAATTCAATCCCCTAATCATTCCAAGGAACCTTGATGTTGTTTCTGTTAGCAGAAGTAAGCCATTCAGCCCATCGAGTCTCTGCTCTGTTTACATTCAACCCTGTTTTCCTCTCAAGCATCTCCTCCTTAAAGATGAACCATTGTTCTATTAGTTTCTTTTTGGTCAGTCTTTGGGTTCATTTTATCCTGGCTAGATCTGCTCTCATTGTATTCAAGTTGGCCTTCTTCCAATTTAGATGTTCTACTTTAGATTGCTCTTCGTTCTTGTCCATTGTTAATCCAAACATTTATAGAATGATAATCATTTTTAACCAAATCTTCCCCACAGACTTTGGTCTACTAGCCCACAGGCTGCTCAGCACTGCCTCCTCCCAGTTGGACTGATGACGTACTAGTCAAAGAAGCCCTCCTGCATTTATTTCTGAAATTGCTGCCTCTCCCATTCCCCCAACATTACCCCAAACTATATTTAGGCTATTACAGTTTAAAGGTCAAAGAAGAAAGAAAAATTGGTCAGAGATTAAAACAGCCACAAGGAAAGAAGAGTTTAATTGTTTGATGTACAATTACAGAGAAGAAAGGTGAAGCATTGTAAAGTGCTTCATCCTCTATAAGGTGCTAGTATAGGAGTGACGTTAGCGGGGGAAGGATAACATATGCATCATGATCAATGTTCCTGCCTAGTGCCAACAGACCCTGCTGTTCCTGATAATGTGATGGGGCTTAACATCCAGCGGCATGGTGGCTCAGTGGTTAGCACTGCAGCATCACAGTCCTAGGGACCTGGGTTTGATTCCACCCTTGGGCAACTGTCTGTGTGCGTTTGCTCCGGTTTCCTCCTATAGTCCAAAGATGTGCAGGTCAGGTGGATTGGCTGTGCTAAATTGCCTGTAGTGTTCAGGGGTGTGTGGGTTATAGGGGGATGGGTCTGGGTGGGATGCTTTGAGGGTCAGTGTGGACTTGTTGGGCTGAAGGGCCTGTTTCCACGTTGTAGGGATTCTATATTTAAAAAAAAAATCCTGTCATGGAAATGTATTGAACCTCCATTTACCTTGGTGTGAGTAGTACCAGGACGACACCTTAGAGAGCAAACTGTTCAGCAACTTAGAGCCATAGAGATCTACAGCATGGAAACAGGCCCTTTGGCCCAACTTGCCCATGCCGCCCAGTTTCCACAATTTAAACTAGTCCCATTTGCCTGCGTTTGGTTCATTATCCTTGCATACCTATCCCATTCACGTACTTGTCTAAATGTTTCTTAAATAACAAAATTGTATTCGCTTCCACCACTACCTCTGGCAGCCTGTTGCATACACTCACCACCCTCTGTGTGAAAAAATTGCCCCCCTGGATTTGTTTGTGTCTCTCCCCTCTCACCTTGAACCTATGCCCGCTAGTTTTAGATTCCCCCACCCTGGGGAAAAGCTGTCAGCTATCTGCCTTAAAGAGGGGAAGTATCTCTAAAGGGTGCACACATCCTAAAAAGATTCACTAACATTACTGTAAGTTTTAAAATTTTCAGAAGTTATCTATAACGTTTGCACTGAGGAAAAAAAAAGGCAAGAAATTGCAATCTGAAATACAAAGAGAAAATACTGGATGTGTCCAGTCAGCAACCAAAATGAGAAAAATCAACTTAATGTTTTAGATATAGGAGTTGACATCCCCACTTGTCAATCAACTCACTGTTTAAATGCTGGCAATTTCTGCTTTATCATTACACTGACAATGTAATAAACATTCAAAGCAAAATCTGCTAAATTCTCACATATGAAGCAAAATGTGCAACAAACTAATTTATGATGTATGAATGCTCCAAACACCCCCTTTTCCCATTTGATTGTTCTCAGCCACTGGAGCACTGATTGCAGTTAGGCAGCACCCCCAAGTGGATGTCTCCTGTAGGTACTAAATAGCACTTTCAAGCTCTTTGAGTTAGGAGCACCATCTTGTTTATCCTTGTGTTGGTGTATGTTTGAAATGCAAAACTTGATCACAGCCTTTTAACTCTTGTGACTTGCTGCATTTCTGGCTGTGCAGATTTTTTTTAAACACTTACAGTATACTTGTGGTGAATAAAATTGCAAAGAGCTGTCCACATATCTGAGACAGTCAGGGTGTCTAGGACAGATGATTGTATTAATATTTTTTCTTTTCTTCCATTGATGCATTTTCTCCACTTTCCAGTTCTACACATCAAAAATGCTGGAGGTCATCCAGGAGGTTTTGTTAGCCTTATAGTGCGTGGCTA